GCCCAGGTGACTCCAGAAATCCATCTTGGAGTTGGACTTTGCATAGGAGAGGGGAGGGGGGGGTCTCCACCCACAAAAAGAAAGTCTATTTAAGCCCGTGGAAGACCCCTCCATTTGGTCTTCAGCTGGCTAAAGAGAGAGCCTCTCCACCCCCCAGGATACTTGGAAGAAACTGGAACAAAGGACAATACTGCAAGCGGTGTGAGTGATTGCTGGACGCAGGCTAAAAAGAGATTAGTCTGTAAAAGGAAGCATTTTGGAAATGGTGAGGATCTTATCTGTATTCAGTTTGATTAGACATAGATTTGTGCATTTTATTTTATTCTGTTTGGTGACTTACTTTGTTCTGTCTGTTACTACTTGGAACCACTTAAATCCTACTTTCTGTATTTAATAATATCATGTTTTACTTATTAATTGACCCAGAGTATGTATTAATACCTGGGGGACGCAAACAGCTGTGCATATCTCTCTATCAGTGTTATAGAGGGCGAACAATTTATGAGTTTACCCTACATAAGCTTTATACAGGGTAAAACGGATTTATTTGGGTTTAGACCCCGTTGAGAGTTGGGCATCTGAGTGTTAAAGACAGGAAGACTTCTGTTAGCTGCGTTCAGGTAAACCTGCAGCTTTGGAGCAAGTAATTCAGACCCTGGGTCTTTGTTGGAGAAGACGGGAATGTCTGGCTTAGCAAGACAGGGTGCTGGGGTCTCGAGCTGGCAGGGAAAGCAGGGGCAGAAGTAGGCAGGTGGCAGCTCCCAGGGGGTTTCTGTGATCCAACCCGTCACAATGACTTCAAAAAATTATGAGATCTGCTTAAAAATCATGAGTTTTTTTAAACAAGATAATACACTTGGGGATCTTCTTACTTGTCTTCTGGTTTCTGAGCCTTTAGGGTGCATGCACTTCAAGCTTCTCTTTTCAAATGAAAGCTCAGTTTTTCTGCTAATCACCTGACTCCAGACACTGGAGCTTTAAGAAAAAACACCAACCTTTGGGAGATTTGTAATAAAATTGCACGAGTTGGTGACATGGTTTGATTTGCAACAGTGAGACCCCAATAGAAAGGTAGGCTCTGGAGCCAGTGAGCAAATACCTGGCCTCCCAGAAGGCATATGCCTGAGCATCAGGGCAGGCAGTCCCTAACATGAAAAGCAGGGGAGAGAGAGAAGACCATGTGGGTTCTGAGCTAGAACAAATGAAACAGCTTCCCTAGGAGTCAGTGTCCAGCCTGTAATAGCCTGGGGTGGGAAAGCCTGGGGGGGATCAGGAAGTGTATTTGGTTTTCAGTCTACATAGATAGCTTGCCAACCACCTGTGCAGCCTACCCCCTGGGAACACCATTGTCAGCTCCCTGGAGGTCAAGATCTACTCCTTGTATCTGGGCCCCAAAGAAAGGCTGTCTCCAGGGAAGGCAGTGTGGCCTACTGCTGGACTGGGATGCAAGAGACTTGGGTTTGCTTCCTGGTTGGGCTGCGGGGTGATGCTGGGAACAGGGCCGCCCAGAGGGGTGGGGGCAAGTGGGGCAATTTGCCCCAGGCCCCGCAGGGGCCTCCACGAGAGTTTTCAGGCGTCCCCACAAGAGTTTTCGGTGGGTCTTCGGCAGCAGGTCCTTCCGTGCCACCGAACACACCCAGATTGAGTGAAGGACCTGCTGCCGAAGACCCGGAGCTTCTTCCGCTCCAGGTCTTTGGCGGCAATTTGGCGGCGAGGGCTCCTTCCGCTCCGGGTCTTCGGTGGCAGTTCGGCGGCGGGTCCTTCAGTCGCTCTGGGACCTGCTGCCAAAGTGCCCAAAAGACCCAGAACAGAAGGTCCCCCGCCGCCGAAGACCCCAGGCCCCCTGAATCCTCTGGGTGGCCCTGGCTGGGAAAGTCATTTTCCATCTCTGTGCCTTAGTTTCCATCTGTAAGATGGGGGTAATGATACTGATCTCCTTTGCAAAGCACTTTGAGATCTACAATGACAAGAGCTGAATGTCATTATCTGGGCTTCCCCTGAAGGAATGAACGGCACTGCCACCCCCAAATGTTCAAAATTATGAGATTAGGTTAAAACTCTTGAGACTTTTTATTTTAAATCAATACATTTTGAGTTGATTTGATTTGCCCTCTGTTTTTTCAGCTTTTGGGGTGCACCTGGGTCATTTTCAAGCTTTTCTCTGCAACCACAAGGGCTAGAGATTTACCTTTTAAAAAAAATGAAAGCTGAGTCTTATGTATTCACATGACTCCAGGAGCTGAGCCTGCAAGAAAAAACAGATTCCACGAGACTTGTGATAAAGTCATGAGGACTGGTGACACTGTAGTAGGTAAATCCAAGCTTTGTAGAGTTAGAATGGTCACCTTGCATAAGACATTCATTCGCTATTTGCACCTCAAACAAGCACAAGTCAAACTTCCTAACACAGCAACTCGTCAGCCAGCAGCATTCATAGCCAGGTCAGAGAGTTAACCTCTGTAGCTGGCATTTAAAGGGGGCTGGATAATTTTATGATCATTGAATAACATTTGCAGTTCTGCGCAATAAGCCGCGATAGGTGTCAGATCTCATGCTTTAGTACACCAGGGACGATTTCTCCTGCAAGCTGCTCTGCACAATTAGCCAGGTGCATCACAAAGGACTAGGATCAAGCCATTGCCAGGGGCAGGACACCAGACTTGATGGCCAGTGATCTCACCCCGCATAGCAAACCCTCTCTCCCTAAGCTTTTATCCCAAGTAACTGGCTTGAAGGACATTGTGCTACAAGGCGCCAGCATAAACCACAAGAATGCCGAGCCGGGCATCCTTTTGGTGCTCTGAATATAACAATTAATGCACATAAGCCACTGAATTATAGGCTGGAGTCTCTGGGGGCCCATATGGCAGCTAACGAGTAACACTGATTGGCTTCCAGAGGCTGTGGAGACACAGACTCTTATTCTTCGAGAGAGGATCACAGCAGACACAGGAGGCTCTGGGCAAAGCTCACATCCTCTCAGCCCTGCTGCAGGAAGCGGTTATACTTTCCATTGATCAGAAGGAGGGGACTTGTGGGACAACCAGTCACTGAGTACAATTCCTCCCTGGCTTCACCAGCCCGAACAATTCACAGTGAATGACTTAGCCCAGGAATTTAGCCCCTTTTCTCCCAAGAGAATTCTCCCCAGACAGACACTGATTTTCACAACAATGTTTCCAAGAGTTTAAGGCAAGACGGGACCACTAGATCACCCAGTCTGACCTAAGCAAACTAGAGCAGGGAGGGTTTTGATCCAGGCTCCCACTACTATAAGCCCAGCATGTCACCACTGTACCATTCTGCTGGGTAAGTGCTTGTGACGTCAGTGTTGTGATGTCTCTGGGCCCTTCAAAGCAGGCCCCAGGGCTGCATTGCCCTGGCTGAGGTAGCAAGGCACCCGAGGACCCACAATTTGGAAGGATGCCATTAGAGCTCTAGGCCCAAGAGCAAGGCCTTCTGGGAGGAGGAGAAGAAGAAAAGCAAGCTGCTTTCTCAGGCTGGGGAGAGCAGTCGCTGCTGGTGGGTTTCTCCAGGAGGGATCTGGCAGGGAGTGAAGGCATCTGAGAAGAGGAGCTGAGGGCTAGAGAAGGAGAAGGCCTGGATGGAGACATGGGGCTTTGTCTGGCATTGTTTCCAAGCTGAAGGAGGTGCCCCGAGCACAGAGGCAACACTTCCAGAAAGCACAGGGCAAGCAGTGGCTTTCTGTACTGGAAGCCCCAACCTTAGGCCCCTGGATGGAGGGAGGGAGGGAGGTTCCCCACCACCGGTGCCCCCACTGAAGGCGGGTAGGGAGTGAACCATGACCTGGCACAGAGCTGGGGGTGGGATCCCTTTGCTTGTCACAAGGCGGTGCCCAGGGAAACCCCGGGGAGACGGAGCCCAACATCACCAAACCCACCAGCCTGAATCCCACCCGACATCACCTGATACCACTCAACCCAGGGGCCTGAATAGCTCCTGCAGAATTCACCCAGTCATGAAATGGACCCATTCAGGGGCAGCGGATCCTTCTGTTTACCATGGAGGCTGAGAAGACACACATCATCTTCCCCACGACCTCATGCTGCAGCCCCTTGGCCAAACCAGCTCCAGAAGGGGCACTCTTGCCCAAGGCCTCCTTGCTGCCACAACATTACTCTGATATAGGCCTGGTGGATCGCGCCCACCTCCCCACAACTGGCAGTCTGGCTACCCCACTGGTGGGCCCCATGACTGTGGTTAGCATGAGGATACCAAGGACTGATTCACCTTCATTAGATTTGACTCCTATAATTGCCTGGCACACTGTGGGGGCTGCTTCAGAAAAAAATAATCATAAAATAAAGAAGGAACAACAACAATGCAAGGAGACCGTCTCGGCCCATAGTGAAGGTGCTCATTCACAAGTCCTTACAAGTGTGTACAGTATTCTTACATACCCTCACACATGATCTCAAACACTTGTACACACTCACACGTGGAATCCGTCTCTGAAAGCTACAGGTTCTCTACATGCAAAGATTTCCACCTTATCTCTGCTGCTCACTGCTCCGCACTGGGATTGTTCGAATCTCGCTGTTATTACTCATGGCTCTTGAATAATCTCCTTTATAACCTTGACTATTAGACGAACTCTCAGAGTTTGCCCTTAGAGTTACGGATAGGTAAATAAATAGATATTAGACCCTGGAGCCTATTCCAGAGGAGTCGGGTGAGTGAAACATACCCCACGCTTTCTGCAAAGGGGTGGGTGAAAGGGCTGGAGGGCTGGGCAAGGCAGTGCTTGCTTTGCTTTCTCCTTGGTGGATCTTGCTTTTCAAAGGAGTGCAGCAATATTTTTGCAGTCAGTCTATGGTTCCTGTCACACAAGCAATTAATTGTTATAATTATTTATATCCTCTCTTCGCTTCCAATCTCCCCTCAGCAAGGGTACTGTCCCTGCTTTCATCTCCATGCTGGTTTTTCTCTCTAGTGTATATAGCTTGCTGATTATGTCTCTCTGTGTGAATGTGAATGCTCGAGGAGTCCGTCAGGCATAAGCCCAGTACCTCCGACTACAGGAGAGCTCCAGCACTGGCCAGAGGCATCCAGTGGTGGCCAGTCAGAAAATCACTCCTAGACTGAGCAGAGCATCTTCAAGATCAGTACCGTCCTGCCACAGAAATGGGCTCTGGTTCTGGGCTAGCTGCTTCTCCTTGGGATGCCGGCTTGCTGCAGGGGGCAGCTGGAATGCTAGACCAGGAGCAGTCAAGGTGGGACAGCCAGGGCATGGCCTGGGGACATGTGGGGGATTTTTTGCAGTGGCTGATGGGTAATTCTTCTGTTCAGTGCTGCTTACATAAATGAGGGAATGGTCCCACTATAGTGGGGCACTTTCCTGGTTCATACACTACCCCGGTGATTCGGACTCGCGAAAGGATCTGAGTCCTCGCTCCCACTTCCTTTACTCACAGGCCTGCCTGACCTCGAGGGCTCCCCTTCCACTCTCCTGTGTGGCAGAGTCCTTGGAACCCAACAAGGCTGGGCCCAGGATTCCTGGGGGGCTCGACCCCCAACCTTGTCGTGGTGACTCAGGGCAAGGGATAGGGTGTCCCCACTCCGGGGTGCTCTCTCTGCACTGGATGCTTCCCTGACCCACTGATCATTACATACAACTCAAAGCAAATACAATTTATTAAACAACAATCAATTAAAAAAAAATATGGAAAAATGGGAAAGGTAAAAGGAAATCCCGTCACTCCGCTCTGTGGCATGGGGACGTCACAACCAGCATCTCTGGAACGTCCGGGCAGTTCAGTCTGTTCCTCACACGGCCCAGGCCCCTGACCAGGCCCTGGCTGTGTTGCAGGGATGCTGCGGGTCGGACACTTGCTCTGGCGGTGGCCACACGCTCTCAGGCTCTAGGTGGCAGGACCCTTCTTCCCAGCGTCGCCCCTGCCCTGTCGGGGTTACGATCCCCCCCAAGTCTGGCCTGCAGGGCCTCTTGGCTGTGACGTCTCCCTGTGCTGGGCCCTCTGCCCAGGGTCCCCCCGTCGCTTTCCCCAGCTGCTCACCGCACCCGGCTCCAGCCCCAGCTCCACCCTGCCCCTGCCCCAGTGCTGCTGCTGCTGCTGCTCTGCCTCCAGCCCCCTGGGCTGCTTCTCTGGCCCCTCTGGCCCAGCCCTGCTCCCCGGCTCAGCTCGGGCCCCTGCTCTCCCCTTAGCTCGGCCCCACTCTGTTCCAGGCAATTTCAGCTCACCCGGAGGACGGGACCCCCTTGGCCTTCTGACTCCCTCATTGGCTGCCCGCCCTGTCAATCAGGTGACCTGGAGCATTGGCCTCTCCCCATTGTTCCTGGGACTGTCAGTCTCAGGGTCCTGATTTCCCATCGACCCTTCCCCTTCCTTTTGGTACTGGGAGCTAGCCGCCAAACCCCCCCCCCTCCCCTGAGTTTCAAATAGGACTGATCCTTGGAGGTCTCTGGTCTCCCAGCTGTGGAATCAGGATAGATCTCAATGCTCAGGCAGGATTGGGTTAATCGGAAGATGCTGCTTCCTCTTGAATTGGCCAGTGAACACAGAAACCCATCAGCATTGCAAAGAATAAGACTTCTAATAAAGCCAGAAGGACTTTGTGCTAGGCAGTGATAACAACCCTTTGTCATTCCCAGCACCTCCCACATGAGGGTCTCAAAGTCATTTACAAAGTAATCACATATCCACAAACAGGAGCAATAGAACCTCTACCCTGCCTCTCCAAAGCTTCCCAGCGAGGACTGTATGGCTAGCAGCAGGGGGGTGCCTGCTGCATGCCCAGAGATGGCTGCATCAGTCTCAGGGCAGGCTCCTCTGCCTGACAGGTATTAGGAGGCAAAGAGAGTCTCTTGCCTCCAGCGTGCTCCTCTTCCACACAGATTCCTATTCCCACCTTGCCATTGGCCAAGGCTTGTCTTCACCTAGTTCCTCTCTCCTGCCAGCCCTTTCCCATGTACTCCCCTCCTGCATATCTGGCCTATGCTCCCCTCTAGGCCAGTGCCATATTGGGCATAAGAACATAAGAATGGCCAGACTGGGTCAGACCAAAGGTCCATTTAGCCCAGTATCCTGTCTTCAAACAGCGCCAGTGCCGGGTGTCCCAGAGGGAATGAACAAAACAGGTAATCACCAAGTGATCCAGCCCCTGCCACTCACTCCCAGCCTCTGGCAAATAGAGGGTAGGGACATCATCCCTGCCCATCCTGGGCCTGGCTAATAGCCATTGATGGACCTATTCTCCTTGAACTTATCTTGCTCTTATGGTCTTGGCCTTCACAATAGGTGTTGGAACTAGCTTGAAGTGGTTTCCATCATATACAGTGTTTACAGTTTGGTTCAATGGCTCTCAGGATCCCCACTATACAAATTATTCCAGCACCCGTGGCCTTCACAACATCCTCTGGCAAAGAGTTCCACAGGTTGACTGTGTGCTGTGTGAAATACTTCCTTTTATTTATTTTAAACCTTCTGCCTATAAATTTCATTGGGTGACCCCTGGTTTTTGTGTTATGAGAAGGAATAAATAACAACACTTCCTTATCTACTTTCTACACACCAGTCATGATTTTATAGACCTCTATCATATCCCGCCTCGGTCATCTCTTTTCCAAGCTGAAAAGTCCCAGTCTTATTAAACTCTCCTCATACGGAAGCTGTTCCAGACCCCTAATAATTTTTATTGCCCTTTTCTGAACCTTTTCCAATTCCAATACATTTTTTGGAGATGGGGCGACCACATCTGCACGCAGTATTCAAGATGTAGGCGTACCATGGATTTATATAGAGGCAATATGGGCAACATGGGTTCTACTCCATAACAGTGCCATGTCCGGCCTATTTACCCCCATCCCATCCCTGGACCAGGCCTGTCTCCAGCCTCTTCCCTTCCTGCACCCATATGTCACCTCTTCTCCCCCCCAGATTGAGACCATCTGCGGCCTGTTCCCTGGTGCAGCTCTGTACATGGTGTTCTGAGCAGGAAGCCTCTCCACGAAACCAGGTAAGGACCTGAGGCTTCTCATCAGTTCCAGTCCCCAGCATCGCAGGGGCAAGTGTATGGCTCAGCTCATCTAGCCCCTGGCATTGTTCTGGAAGCTCTGGGTGAGAGCTTTGCCATGCCTGGGGGTCTGGGGGCTATTTCATCCATCCCTCCACATCACGGAAACATTGCTTTTAATTAGTCCTGAGAGATGGACATGCCACCTAGCCGTGCTGGCTGGGGAATCCCTCTGTGAAAGATACAAGTGACACCTATGGAAGGTCTAAGAGAGTAAAAGAAAATCCAGAAAGTGCTGCAAGCTGAATTGTTCTAAATTGCAGTAAATACTCCGCAGCCTCTGAGGTTGGAGAGACACAGAGAGAATCACTGTGTGCTCAGGTAAAGGAGGAAATGTGCTCAGGTAAAGGAGGAAATGTGCTCTGGTAAAGGAGCACTGTGTGCTCAGGTAAAGGAGGAAATGTGGGACACTGAAAAGCCTATTTGATGGGGAAGAGCTGGTAACTGAGACAGGCAATTCTGGAAATGCTCAACCGGACCAGAAAACTCAAAACTACAGCTGGTAGAGATCTTTGTGACAAAAACCCCTTTTCATTGACAAACGGGACATTTTGTGGGGACAAATGATTGCTGTAAAATTTTTTCATTTCTTGATGACATTTCAAATGAAAATTTTTGCAAGACTTTTTGAAAGTTCTGAAAAATGTCACCAAAAATGATGGGCGGGAGAAGGGAAAGAGAATCTTACCAAGAAGAAGGGGGGAAAAAAAGAAAAATTTCCAAAAATTGGTTATACAAAACTTTGATTCAAATTTTTCATGCCCCCCCACTAAAACAAAACCCAAACCAGAATTTCTGAACCAAACAAAAAGTCTTCATTTAAAATATACATCTTGTGTGCAAGAAAAGAGGATCATTTGAGCAGCTGTATTCAAACCAATGTTTGCAAAGGTTGGAACAGTGGTTTCCTTCAGTCTGTGCTGTCTGCTGAGGGAGGCAAGCTAATGAGAAGAGAAACCATTCTGCTAGAGACGTGATCAGGCAGCAAATGTGCCCATCTTGCCCAGGGAAAGTCTCAAAATGTGAGGGGGAGAAAGGCAACATGGGGTTCTCTGAGTCGAAGGTCCCTGTGTCTCTCACAGTCCTCAGTTAGCAACAATCTCCAGTAAGTGCAGCTCTGCCGCACTAATTCCAACCTGTGCAGCTGGGATCCGCTTTCACTCAGGTCCTCACATCCTCGAACTAGAGCTGGTTGAAATTTTTCAAACAAAAATTTTTCCCACCAAAAAGTGGGCTTTCATTGAAAAAATATTTTTTTAAGTGGGAAAATGGCATTTTCAATTAAAATGATCTGTTTTTACAAGAGGAACCTTCACATCTTGGCCAAAATTTACATTTAATTTTGAATTGCAGTTTTTGGGGTTGGGTTTTCTTTTTTGAAACTCAAAAAGTTTTGATTTTCAACTTTTGTTTCTCCTACACCTTTTTTTTAACTCTTCTCTTTCTTTTCCACTGAAAAAGGTGTGGGAGGGTCTGAGAAAATGAGGAAAAAAGCCATTTATACCTACAAAAAAGTTCTCAATTTCCCTCCGTATTTTTGCCCACCCCCGCATCTCTGCCGCCTTTTCCCTAAATCCCCGACCTGAAATTCAAAACTCCCAAACGTACGGCTTTTCAAAAAACAAAACTCAATTTGAAACAAAAATGTTCAGTTTGCTTAAAAATTCCCCGTGAAAACTCAAAACATGGAGCATGAATTGTTTTGTGCAAAATCTGTTGGAATATTCAGACGTAGCCTTTGGGCTCATGGAAGCTGTATCAGACCCAAGCCCCCAGAAACCAAGAGTGGGATAGAAGCATCAGCCATTGCTTCACCGTTGTAATAGAAAAACCCTGGGAGACCAATGAGGGACATGCGACCAGATTCGGCTCTAGCATACATGAGTGCAATACTTGGGGAAGTAAATAGGAGTTGTGTTTGCGTACATATACCACGCCTAGCTAGACAGACAGTCCCTAGGCACCTTCACTCAGCCACCGTTGGCCAGATGATCATCTCTTCCCTCCCCATCCATTAATAACGTCCGGTGCCATTTCAAACATAGGCTAACCAGGGACCTCTGAGTATATGATTTAGTTGGGGTTGATCCTGCGTTGAGCAGAGGGTTGGACTAGATGACCTCCTGAGGTCCCTTCCAACCCTAATCTATGATTCTATGAAGACACACACATGGGGTGCAATCATGGCCCCACTGAAATTACTGGGAGTTCTGCAGTGGACTCAGCACTAACATCACAGTATTGTTCTTCAGAAAGTGGGTTTGAATAAGATCTGGCTGAATAGCAAACAAACTGATTCCTGAGCTTTTAACCCAGACACAAGCTCTGAGTCTGATGCACTCTGGTTGGTGGGGTTATGTTATTTGCTGTCCATTAACAGCTCTGAGCAACAGTTTTTGTTCAAATCTTTTTTCAAGAAAATATAGCTGCTTTTCAAAACAAAAATGTTCACAAAAAGCTTTGCATATTTTTGAATTTTTCTGTTTTTTCATTAAAACAAAAATGTTTGGAATTTTGAGGGGTCATTGGGCATTTATTCCCCTTTTTCCCCCCTTTCCTTTTTGGCCACTGAATGTAATGAATAAACAAAAATAAATAAATAAAACTTGAATGATGTCCAGGTCCCCCCCCCCTCCATTTTTGACACTCGATAACTTTGCACAAATGTTTTGAACTTAGGAAAAAGTACAGAATGGCAAAAGGAAAAATGAAGAAAAGAGGAAGAAAAATCAAAATGTAAAGAACCTCTCCATCCCCACCCAGAACAATGCTGAACATCATTCATTCTATTGCAATGAGAAGTAAAACGGAAAAAGAAAAAAACTAAGTATAAAAAGGCAAAAAACAAAAATTCCTCAACATTTTTCACAAAGAGTGTAACCACCCACGAGGCCCTGCCCCTTCCCCCAAGGCCCCGCCCCTGCTCCGCCTCTTCCCCCTAAGGCCCTGCCCCTTCTCTGACTCTTCCCTTGAGGCCCCGCCCCTTCTCTCCTTCCCCCAAGGCCCCGCTCCCATCACTTGCTCCTCTCCCTCCCTCCCTCTATCACTCGCTGGATCATCTCAAGCAGCCTGCCCGTAGGTAGGCGGCAGCCCAGGCTGAGCAAGGGCTGGCATGGGTTAATGACCCGGCGCCTCCCCCCACTCTGTGGTAACTGAACTTATGGTTCAGGTACCATTTAGGGTTTCCAGGTCCCCTTTTCAACTGGACTTTCCAGTCGAAAACCGTGCACCTGGCAAAGCCTAAATGGCACCTGGACACAGAAGCCAAAAACAGACTGTCCAGGTAAAATCCGTACAGCTGGCAACCCTACCTGCTATTCATTGCTAGGGTGACCAGATGGTAACTTGAAAACATCGGGACCGCCGCAGGGGGAGCGCCTTCAGCGGCAATTCGGCAGAGGGTCCTTCAGTCGCTGACAGTCTTCGGCGGCAGGTAATAAACCTTGCCACCAAATACAGAAGTACCCACCGCCGAAATGTCGCCGAAGACCGTCAGCGACTGAAGGCCCCTCCGCCGAATTGCTGCCGAAGACCCGGACGGGTGAATGTAAAAAAAATATATCAGGACAAATGGCGTCCCGACCGAACTACGGGACAAACTGCTCAAAATCGGGACGTCTGGTCACCCTAGTCATTGCTGACCCATTGCTATTTATTATTTGTTTAACGTGCTGCTGTGATCCAGTCCGGGAGTAATGACAAAGCCATGTGACTTAGCTCACCAACCACCCAGCACCAGTAATGAACGAATAATTAAAGTGACCAGTTCTCAAACCATCAAGAACCTGACAATTATCTGTCCAGACCATTTGGCAAATGCCTGCAAACAGCAAATACATTTGCAGAAATCAAGAGCCATTACCCAGTGATGCACCAATCAAAATAGGGGCTAGATATATGCTAAATGTCAAGCCTCCTGCACATGAGTAACTTTACTCCCATGAGTAGGGTCTTATTGACTTCACAGGACTGTTAATCTGGGTAAAATTGCTCAAGTGTGTAAGTGTTTGCAGGTTTGGGACCAGCGGTTTGACCAGCTCTAGTTAAGACACTTTCCTTTCCCTTTAATAGGAGCTGAGTAAGAGAGACAAATAGCTGTCCTCACCTATGCCCACTGTGTGTATTTTTGTTGACAAATGACACTCCTTGGGTGGGTATTAGAAGCTCATTCTTTCCCCATATCAGGAGTGATGATCTCCGAAATAGAGTTTCTGAAACATTCTGGAGTAATGATCAGATTATTTTTGGATGACAAAGTTCTCTGGGAAAGTCAGGGGGATAATTCATTGGCATTTGATCAAATCTAAAAAGCATTGGATTCAGAAACATGGACGAGGGGAGAAGGATCCCAGATAGCGCATATAAATCAGCCACACTTGTTATTTCTAAGTAGATGTAATTCAGACAGGCTGGCGCTACAGTATTTCTTGGGGTAGGATGACTGAAGGGAGTTCAGGAATCTGAAATATGGTTGATGAGAAATTATCTTGGAAGCAGCATATTCACTTTATTGAGAATAGCAGTAAGAGGCCCATAAATCTTCCTAAGAGCATTTCAGGTGCTTTTATGACTCGTGCATGGGATTTATGGCATATTTTCAGAAAAAAATATAATTTAAAAGGACACTGTCAAGTACTTTTTATGGCTTTTATTTATTTTTTAATCTCCATTGTTTGCAAAATGCTCCTCGGTGCTGGAAAATGCATTTCTGCCCTGTTACATCTGGAAGATGATTTTTTTTATTTCTCCCCCTGTATTTCAACTAGAGCCAGAGTTAATGTGGCTTGGGCTCTAGCATCAGTGGAGCGACAGCTTGGGGAAAGCATGCTTGTGAGTGACTTGCTATTGCAGAGCCAGCAACGGGAGCACATGATTCTCTGAGTAGGCCCCACAAAAAATAGCCCCCACATATGGTATATATTTTAAATGTCATGCTGGGAGATTGGTGGATAATTTCCCCTGCTTATTAAAACAAGTTATTTGATTTTTAATGGTGAGGAGAGACACCAGGCAGGCAGCCCTGCAATACCGAATGCCTCAATTTTGGGTACATCACTTGAGTCACCGAGGGACTGATTTTTAGCTGATTTCATGGAGAGCTTTTCTCTGTATCTCTGAAGTCCGGGTGATGGCTTGAAACATGGGAGACCTGGATGCAAGTCCCTGTTCTCCTTTAGCCCTGCGTTTGTGCACACCCTGTAACCAGTTCCCCATCTGTACAGTCAGGATAACAGCCCTGCCCTGCATCCTGGGCGGGTTATGAGGATAAATGAATTAAGAATTGGGAGGGGCAGGGGCAGGGGTACTGCCAGGATGGGAATTGTATTAGTCATAGAAGAATCATAGAATCATAGATGATTAGGGTTGGAAGGGACCTCAGGAGGTCGTCTATCCAACCCCCTGCTCAAAGCAGGACCAACACCAACTAAATTATCCCAGCCAGAGCTTTGTCAAGCCTGACCTTAAAAACCTCTAAGGATGGAGATTCCACCATCTCCCTAGGTAATCCATTCCAGTGCTTCATCACTCTCCTAGTGAAATAGTGTTTCCTAATATCCAACCTAGACCTCCCCCACTGCAACTTGAGACCATTGCTCCTTGTTCTGTCATCTGGTACCACTGAGAACAGCCAAGCTCCATCCTCTTTGGAACCCCCTTCAGGTAGTTGAAGGCTGCTATCAAATCCCCCCTCACTTTTCTCTTCTGCAGACTACACAAGCTCAGATCCCTCAGCCTCTCCTCGTAAGTCATGTGCCCCAGCCGCCTAATCATTTTCGTTGCCCTCCGCTGGACTCTCTCCAATTTTCCACATCCTTTCTGTAGTGGGGGCCCAAAACTGGATGCTATACTCCAGATGTGGCCTCACCAGTGCCAAATAGAGGGGAATAATCACTTCTCTCGATCTGCTGGCAATGATCCTACTAATACAGCCCAATATGCCATTGGCCTTCTTGACAATAAGGGCACACTGCTGACTCATATCCAGCTTCTCATCCACTGTAATCCTCAGGTCCTTTTCTGCAAAACTGCTGCTTAGCCAGTTGGTCACCAGCCTGTAGCAGTGCAAGGGATTCTTCATTCCTAAGTACAGGACTTTGCACTTGTCCTTGTTGAACCTCATCAGATTTCTTTTGGCCCAATCCTCCAATTTGTCTAGGTCACTCTGGACCTTATCCCTACCCTCCAATGTATCTACCTCTCCCCCCAGTTTAGTGTCATCTGCAAACTTGCTGAGGATGCAATCCATCCCATCATCCAGATCATTAATAAAGATGTTGAACCAAACCGGCCCCAGGACCAACCCCTGGGACACTCTGCTTGATACTGGCTGCCAACTAGATATCGAGCCATTGATTACTACCCGTTGAGCCCGACAAGCTAGCCAGCTTTCTATCCACCTTATAATCCATTCATCCAATCCATACTTCTTTAACTTGCTGGCAAGAATACTGTGGGAGACCGTATCAAAAGCTTTGCTAAATTCAAGATATATCACATCCACTGTTTCCCCATATCCACAGAGCCAGTTATCTCATCATAAAAGGCAATCCATGTTCACTGTTCCTGATCACCTTCCTCTCCTCCAAGTGCTTCAAAATGGATTCCTTGAGGACCTGCTCCGTGACTTTTCCAAGGACTGAGGTGAGGCTGACTGGTCTGTAGTTCCCCGGGTTCTTCTTCTTCCCTTTTTTAAAGATGGGCACTATATATGCCTTTCTTCAATTCTCCGGGACTTCCCCTGATCACCACAAATTTTCAAAGATAATGGCCAATGGCTCTGCAATCACATCAGCCAACTCCCTGAGCACCCTTGGATGCATTAGATCTGGACCCATGGACTTGTGCACATCCAGCTTTTCTAAATAGTCCTTAACCTGTTCTTTCGCCACTGAGGGCTGCTCACCTCCTCCCCATACCGTGTTGACCAGGACAGCAGTGTGGACAGCAGCCCCTAAGATACAAAGCAGGTCTCACCCTCGCTTCTGTCGACCCTCTGTCCATAGGTTTCAGTGGTAGCCGTGTTAGTCTGTATCAGCAAAAAACCTCCAAAAAACAAGGAGTCCTTGTGGCACCTTAGAGACTAACAAATTTATTTGGGCATAAGCTTTCGTGGACTACAGCCCACTTCATCATAATACACCCTGGGTAGAGCCCTCCTGCCAAAGCATTCAGCAACGCCAGGACATTTCAGAAGTGACTCCAGCACAATATACATAGACATGTCTACACCTGGCTTTATTAGCCACATAAAGGGGCATGACTAGCCTGGGGCCTGGATAAGCCACTTCACAGAAAATAGCAACAGAGAGTCCTGTGGCACCTTAAAGACTAACAGACGTATTGGAGCATAAGCTTTCGTGGGTGAATGCCCACTTCGTCAGACGCATTCACCCACGAAAGCTTATGCTCCCATACATCTGTTAGTCTTTAAGTGCCACAGGACTCTTTGTTGCTTTTTACAGATCCAGACTAACATAGCTCCCCCTCTGATACGTCACAGAAAATCAGGTTTCAGAAGAAGTGGGCTGTAGTCCACGAAAGCTTATGCTCTAATAAATTTGTTAGTCTTTAAGGTGCCACAAGTACTCCTGTTCTTGTCACAGAAAATGTGAGTAGTGGGTCAGGTTTTCCTGGGTGTAACTCCACTCAGTTCAATGGAATTAGACCAGGGATGACTGCGACCCAGTAAACTGATGGAAAAGACTTCACTGCACCAAAGGACGGGAGCATGACAAGTGTCTGGTCTGGAGTCCCCTGACTGGCATGTGGAAGAGAGGTGACGGAAAGTGATTACTCCCAGCTACTGGCCCCAGGGATTAATTCCGCTAACCAGGAGCTGCTCAAGTCCAAAAGGCATTGGTACTTTGACACACGTGTTCTGCTAGTATTGGGGGAGAGCTTCGGAAGGGCTTCCCTGTGCGAGCGCTGTCCAGACATGGAACAAAGGGTACGGCCTGGCAGCTGGTAGATGTAATGCCCCACTCGGGTAGATGAACACGTGCTAGGCCTCTGCGTGAGCGACTGCACTAGAAAGCAGCATGGGTGTCCCCGCTAACCACCCACATCTGTACCTATGACCACCCATGGGGTTGTAGTTGGGCAGCAGCCTGGGCTACCCCTGGCTAGACTCCTAATCGCAGCTTGTGAGCTTGAGCAGAGCTGTGTGGGTACATCTGCCAGGCTGGAATTACACCTCCCACCTCCAGTGGAGACAGAGCCAAGGAGCACAGTCCCTGCCCCAGAGCTCCCAGCCGACCTGTTGGACAGGAAGCAGCAGGCAGATGAAGCAGACACCCCAGAGAGGGGAGGATGAGTAACAATAACATTACATGAGTTAAGCCAAAGTCCCAGCACATCACTTACCCAGCCAATGTGATGTGAATGGAATGTCGGACCCCAGTCCCGGACCCCTGATGGATTTTACTGTCCCTCCATCCCCTAGAGCCTGACACATCATGATTGGAATCATTAGTCAAGTCTAAGGGCTAGTCTACACTGGCAACGCTAAAGTGCTGCCTTGTGTGGTCGCGGCTCTCCCAGCGCTCTAAAAACTCCC